ATAATATATATATATTTCTGTGAAAATGTAATGAAAGGGAGATTTTTGTTAAAGAAATCTGCCTTTTGGCTTTCCAGTCTGGATGTGTTGAGGGAGCATCAGACGATGTTTGATCTGATGAAAGTTAATTCAAGCACCGTTACCTGGAGAACACCTAATTGCGTGCTTCAAACTTCTGTGCTGAAAGTGAATGGCTGATACCGCAGCTGAGAATAACAACGCGCTGCACCCTCTCTTAAACACTCGTGCGCCCCTGGCTTTTTTGGTAATCTGAAAGGATACGATGCTATAATTGCCTCTTCTGTAAGTAGCTGTATATCAAACACGTAGTATGTGCAAGCAGAGATCCTTCAGGAGAGTAGCGTGTACCTCAGGAATCACGTCAGAGTAAATGCCGTGAGAAGTCTGCTGCCTGTCGTGTGCCAGAGAGCTCCCCGCTGCTCACCCGCTGACCCAGGCGATGCCCGGGGGGCACTGGCATAGCCTCAGGGACCGAAACGCATTTCGCTCGTGGCACCATGCAGAGGAGGTGCGATGGAACCGATTGAAGCTTTTATAAATAGATAAAGCATAGAAATAAATGTTTGTGTGCTTTCACACAGAGCAAGCGTGTGTGTGTGTGTGAGACGCTTGGGCGTTGACTGTTGGGTTTTTATCCCCCCTAATTTTTATGCTTCATTCATTCTTTCCTCTGCAGACACTGGAGGAAACCAAAATAGTCTCCATCGTTAGTGTGGCAGAGCTGGATTGCAAATTTTAAGCACAGTTGCAGCTTGCTGCTTAAGTTTTCCCTGTGCCTTTTCCCTTACAGCTTCACAGGCTCCTGCACACGTTACCGGAGGACTAGGAAGGCAGGGGAAGGAAAGGGAGGGATTGGCACGCAGGAGGAGAGTCTTACTGTGAGCTTCGTCTTCGGATAATATTGCTGCTCTACTTAAAATGAAACATGGATCAGCATAGTACTCTAGCAGGCAACTGCCTTGAGACATCTTTGCTGCCAAAATAGTAATGTCAGGGAAGGTAAGGAATAAAACACTTGCAAAAATAGAAAGGTTGGGAAGTACGTCCAGTTTTTCCTGTTATTTTTGAGCCAAAAACACTGTGGTAACAGAAGCTGAGGAGTCCTTGTGGTAGTGGCACCCTGGTACCGTTACCACCTTCCATCACTGCTTGTGCTGGGGGATGGTCCCTGTTTCTTGGCTGTCACCTGGGCTGGGCTCCCCGCTCCTGCCTGGAAGCTGCTGCAGAGCAAATACAGGGCTGCTACAGCCAGCCAGGAGAAGCTGTCGGAGCGTGCAGGAGGGTTGGGGTGCCAGCCAGAGCAGCAGTCATTAAAGCCAGTCTCTGCCTCCCACCACAGTCCCGCTGTATAATCCCTTTGTCCTGTTTTTCTTTACCTAGAGGAGATCAGCGGAATATTCACGTTGGGGTACTACTAACTGCTGTAGAAAAAGGCCTAAGCATCAGGTTTTTATCCATCCAGAATAGGCGGGGGAAAAATGTTACTCCTCACCCTAGATGAGCCCATCTGCTCACAGTCCGGGAGAATAAACTTGAATTATTTTTTCCTGAACATGAGGAGCTGGGAATTTTATTATATATAGATATGTATTTGTAGAGATGCAACTACTCTATACTCCATCTAACCACCCTTGATTTCCACCTCTCACCTAAGCTGGGGTGCTGCCAGGGGCAGGGCTCACTGCACGTGGCCAAAATACTCCTACATAAATCTCACGGGGAGCTCGTCTCCGTCCTGCACCCCCGTGGACTGACCCCTGCGATGGCAGAAGGCAAAATATCCTCTGTGTCCCCAAGGTGTCAGCTGCCCCTCGTGGCCGGTCCGTGGCTTTTGGAACAATCTGTTGCTTTTTTCTTCTTAGTTTTTATTTTTTTTTAAATTATGTTTATCCTAAGGAGATACCCATCTTCTAGAAAGCATCTTCAGCTCTTCCTGGCTGCAGGGATCCTAGTCGCCGGAGCCCTGGGCACTCCTCATCAAATAATGCTGCTGTTGGGTGGGGGTTTTTTTTCTTAACTGTTCAGCTGCCCCTGACAAAAAGCCCCAAATGGCAAAGAAAAAAAATGCTGCAGAGTCCTGGAAAGGGAACAGGAGCTGGGACGGGGCAGCGTGGGGTGGGCCAGGCAGATGGGTGAGTGTCCCACTGCCCAGCAGGTGCAATTCTGGGTTTTTTTGCGAAATGTGAGGGCCAAGGGGGGGATGACAGCAGCTGGGTCTCCCCAAGGACCGCTCCCTGAGCTGGCGAGGCCCTGAAGGGCAGCCGGAGGGGTCTGGAGCTTTTGGGGACAACAGAGACCAGTGGTGGGGTTGGGGGTCCCCTGCTCATCCCAGATCCTGCCCAGTCCCATCCCCCTGAGGGAACCAACCCCACTCCCGGGCCCTGCCAAAGGGACGGACCCCCGACCTGCCCACCCACACCTGGGGACACCCCTGGGACACCCCCCGCCTCAGAGGGCCAGACCCCACACAGTTGGCCCCGCCACCCCTCAAGCCACCCCTGGGACTCCCGGTGCCACCCCAAAGGGTGCCCAAAGGGTGGGGTCAACACTATTGGGGGGTCTCTGGGATCACAGAGGCAGTGAGGGGGGGCCCAGGGGGGCCCCTCGATCCACTCTGACCCCAGCCCTCACGGATGGGGCGAGCGCTGAGGATTCGCACCAGAGACGGGCACCTGGTTTATTGATGTATTTATTTATTTGGATAGGAAAAGCACCTTATTCCCGTTGCTCGTTAGCCCCAGGGCCCCACCAGGGCCACCACCAGGGCCAGCACCAGTGCCACGACCAGTGCCACCAGCTCTCACCACTGACTTTCACCCATTGCTCCCCACCTCCCAGGCAAAACCCACCCTGTGCAGGCCTTGGCCTCGTGCTGGGGGCCGGGGGAGAAGGTGCCTTTCCTGGTGTGGGGAAAAAAAGGACAAAAAGAGGAAGCCGTGGTGGTTTCGTTGCACCCAGACCTGCCTCCCCGCAGTTACATCTGCCGGCACGTCCCAAAGCCGCACCGGCACTCCAGTGCCAGCAGAATTTCAACCCCGCCACCACCCCTTCTTCTTTTTTTTTTTTCCCTTTCCTCCAAAATTTTCCTCTTTTGGCACACAATGCTGGGGGTGCCGGGAGGGAAGCAGCTGGGAAAGGCTGAGTAGAGCTGCGGCATTGCTGATGCCTGGGGTGAGCCGTGCTCCCCGGTACCCCGAGAGGGCTCCCCACTGCCGGGGCAGCCCGCGGCAGCCCTGCCCGCCAACACCATCCCC